ACGTGGGACAAAATCATTGGTTTGTCAAGATGCTTTGACTGCAAAGATGCCCCCAGCCATACATATAGGAAACCTGATATGCGAGGTGAAAAAACAACCCCAGGTGGTGATAAGGAAGTTTCATTCCGTCCACATTGTTCAGGAAGTCCAGTAACAATTTCTTTGCAAGCCTCTCCACATACAATTGTGCCATCAAATCCAAGCTTTTCAAGTCGCATGGAGCATAATTTAACCATTTCCGAAGAGCGTGAAATTCTTTCTTGTGAGAGTGAAAGTCCAAATCAAGAAGGTAACACACCTCAATAGATAATGCTGGCCATTGAGCTTACTGGTCAAGGATGAAGATTGTTAACAAGGCATTTCATACGGATCCATTCATAATGCAAGAATTATTCTTTGTTTACATATTTGTAGCATTGTATAAAACTTTCTTTGTTAAAGTGGTCCTTCATATTTGATTAAATTATTTGTGGTTATGTAACGGTCCTTTTCTCCTCCTTTGTTTCATTTTCTTTTGTTTTTCAAGTCCATTTTCTATTATCCCTCTCTTCGTCCTACTAGCTTCCCACCCAACCCTGCTAGTTCTCGCAACCTACTATGTATGTAAAAGCCAAGCCCTATAGCCAATTATCTTATAGATTTGTATGAGCCAAGAAGGTGAACATAAGTTATTTGAGTCCGTTAATATCTTGATGGGGTGTTGAAAAAAAAGAATATTTGTGGGGGTTAATTCGATAATTATTTGAGAATTGATTGACTATTCTCAACTTAAAGACTTACTTGATGGAGGATTTGTGCTATACTCTTGAACACTTGTCAAATTTCTTATTATTGTGTTTGAAAATTGGGTCAGAGCAAGAAAACCATAGAGTCAGTTTTTTGTTCATCTTTTCTCGCTGTGTAGAATTCCTTATACTATATAAGAATGAGTTAAGGGCAAAGATTTCAACCGCAAGGGTGGGGCTATTTTGGGAATATGAAAGTATTTGAAGTGCAATTGGAGTATTGAATATGAATCATTATAACTAATTTGATTTTTTTTATAATTACTTAAATGTCCTGTCAGACATTTAAAGCTATGGGTAAGTTTAACATGTGGCAGTATTCGGTATCTGATTAAACATTGGGTACAATTGAATTTAGGTTGTGTTTTAGTGGAATTACATAAAAATACTTTTAATAATTTAATTGGATTAACATCCAAGTCTATTAATTTCTTAAAGCCATTCTTATCAGTTATTTGCAAATTTGTGATATATAGATGTTAAGACACAATTAATACGGATTAGTAGAGAAGTTTGGTTTCTTGGGGATTACTATAGTAACCCCTATAGTAACCCCCATCTATTCAAATTCATTTCATTTACTTATAATTTTGTTCTACTACAATCACGTAGTCTATTGAATTCAGATGTTGCTATATTAGTTACTCCTCTTTCCCATTTTGCAACATCTTTTTCAATAGGTATGTTTTCTTTAGCTAATCTACTTTTTTTGTTGTAAGAAATCTGTAATCTTGCAAGTTGTACGTGCAATACTTTTTTTAGTGTTTCAATTCAATTGCCCATGTTAGATAGGCTTGATAGGGAGGAGATCACATTTGTTAATTGTTATTTGTGGTTTAAAATAAATTTATCATCATAAATTTTTTCATTTATAAATTGCATCTAACTCTTTTGTTGTTTTAACTATTAGTTACGGTAATTTTCAAATTGTTTACTACTTTATTGATCATTCCATTTAGGCAATTTTTCACTTCATTTGATTTGCCAATATGTTTAACTATCTACTTAAAACTATTTGGCTGCAAATCTAAAGTATGTACTTCATTACTTTTAATTGTTTTCTTGAATTAAGTGGATTAAGATGTTTTAGTACTTTTTGAGGTAATTATTCATCTGGATTAGCGTGTTAGTTATTGTATATATTTGCAACTAGGTCAAAAATTGATATTTTGTGACTGTAACCCCTACCAAGAAGAAGATGCTTTGCTATATGTTCTAAATCATACAATAAATCATAATTGATTGATTGGTCAATGTGGATGTTTCATGATGATATGTCCTTGGAATCAATATAAATCAAAGAATTTGGCTTGCGAGAACTAAAATTCCACTAGCAATGATTTCTTCAAGTATGCTAATTATTCAAATCTCACTCATATGACAAGATAATGAGGTGAATTGCCCTTGTATCAAAATCAAATTCAAACTAAATAACAAATTTTAATATCCCTAAAATGCATGAGCAGATATAAATAAATCTTTTATTCTATTAGATTAGACGCAAAGTGGTTAATCGTGTTTTATAATTATATTTCATTGCATATTATACATTTTTACTCAATATGTAATTTATGATTTTTCTGTTTAATATCACAGAATAAAATTGTCATACTTTAATTCTTATACTACAAAATACTAAATAATAATTATTAACTATCTTTAATTATAGGTATTAAACTCCCGCGCATGGCGCGGGCTTTTTCCCCTAGTAATTATTAATAAGCTTTTGTATCAAGCATTTCCATGTGTTGTGCTGCTGAATTCTTGGTTTAGGAGTTGATCTTGATTATTTTTATAAATGGTAAATTGCATTTACTGCCCTGTGATTTAGCGATTTTTCACATAATCCTCTATAGTTTCAAAATAGCTCATTTATAGTTTAGACTAAAACGTCAAAATGAAGGAAATGATTCTCTGTAACAGAACCCATAAAAATGTTAAAATTATCCTTGTTTGAAAATTCAAGTGGTTAAAGTGATTACAATATATAAACATATTATACATGATACTTTAACCCGGTATGCCTTTATATTTTACTATATAACCCCCCCGCCCCCCTTATGATTTTATATTTTACCATATTACCCCCTTCTAATTTAGTGCTTTACTATAACCCTTTTATGGGTTTCAAAATACATGTATAGCCTCCCATGGTTAATAAATAATTTTCAACTTCATATAGGAGTACTTTTGACATTTCAGTGAACTCCGTTATGGAATGTAGATTATTTTAACACTTTAATTCAAACTATAAGGAGGTTATATATAACTTTTGAAAGCATAGAGAGGTTACGTGAAAAATCGCAAAACCAATGGTGGTAAAGTGTTTTTTACCCTTTTATAAATGATGGAAGCATCAACAATTACTAAAATCACAAACACATATTTTTACAGTAGTCTCGCTATAACCAACAAGAAGCAGTTTCCAGAGCATCTTCAAGAGTTTACACTGGGACTACATTGCTAAAATTTTTATTAGTCTTGTCTGCTTCACATGATATTCGGCATCCATCATATTCCCAAATCACTCACCTTCAGTTTCACTTGTCACCCATCATTGTTCTGCCCCATCACCAACCTTTGCATGACCCCTGGATACCGAAGGCATCCTTGGGGTGATCTCTAGTTCCCATGAGGTGGAGATGATGGCCTCTATCCACGTTTTTTCCTCCATCTTCTTTTGTAACATCACTTAATTCTGTATCCAATTTGATCCTTGTATGATGATGCAACCAATAAAGTATTTCCGGCTTAAAAACAAAATCCTAGAACTAATTGCCATTCTCCTCAGAACATCCTACCTTACAGTAGGAAGAAGTAATTTTCAGTTCAAACTCATTAGAAAATCTTTTTTTTTTTACAGCTAACATTTAAATTTTTATTTTCTCACATAATGAAGAATTTCATTTTCTTGGGATATTTTTTGGTTTTAGCACTATTTGAGACATTAATGTTGTGAATTAAGCATATTTGTACGTAATTAGCCATGATATTTTGAGAACAAGTCTCTTTCTTTCTCAAATATGAACCCACTTTTTTTGCATTCTAAATTAGCTAGAGTTTTCCCTTAATTATTTCTCTTAATCAATTATTTTCTGCAGTTAATTTATTTAGTTAGCATTTAATCCAAAACCCCCCATACCTTGTCAGGGAATTTATCAGCAAACTGGATTGATCTATTTATGGGGGTAGTGGTTCCTTAGTGGATATGATGCCCAAGAAACCTAATTTTGGTTTGAAAAAGGCTAATTTTCTTTTGAGAGACAACCGGGCCATTTTTCTGGGTAATATGAAGAAAGGTATTTAGGTGTTTGAAATGTTGTTCAATATTTTCCGAATAAACTAGGACATCAAACAATTCATGAACCAGAATCCTCTCACAAATTCCCAGCAGAATCAATAGATCCATCAAAATCAATTCATATTAACTCAGCAAATTCACCAAAACCTTTTTCAAATTATGATTCCATACTAGGATCTATAAACCTATCAGATCCGCAAAAAGTTTTGGAAAAAAAATTTATAGATCTACCAGATTCTCCCATAGATCTATCAAACCCAATAAATATATCAAATCAAGGATCTAACATTCGAGTTTTGAGTCAACCAATGAATTATTCTAAATTTTGGGAGCTGAGTTCTGGAAAATCCTCTCTCTAGTGTAGAGGAAGCTCTCTCTTGGGGTAAGAGCCATCCTCCCTTTGGTGGGAGTTTCAGCATGGTTTCAAACGTTTTCAAAACTCATACTATTCCCGCACTTTTTTCTACAATATTCCAACCATCACCACTACCGATCTGAGGCTGTAACCAAGGAAGATTCACGCAGCTTAATCATCGTAATCAAAGAAATTTAAGGATGTCTCTCCAGGGGGAACACATAGTAGCCTGAGTCTTACTCTTTATGAACAGCTGTAAGCAAGGTAAGACTTGCTTTTTTTCCTTGCTCCCGTTTCAGAGGTAAGGCCTGTACACATGCATTAGTTTCTACAGCGTTTATTATTTGTCTGTGTTTTCTTTTCCTCTTGTCGTTAGCCTGGCTGGTCCCATTTACTGTGATAGTTTCGGTCTAGTTGTGCTTGTTTTTGTCCCCTGTTTTTTCGCTTTCTTTACTTTCTTAGCTACTCTTGTGTTTTTTCTATTTCTTGGCTGGTAGTTGAAAAGGCGTAACTTCTAAGTTTAGCGAGAGAATACCCGCTAGCATCTCAGAACTTATCTATGGAGGGTGACTTATCTGAATTATTACAAAGATTTTCGCTGGAGGGGAATGAGATCTCTGGAGCTAAACTGGAGTTGGAGGACCTGAGCAGTGGAATAAAGGATTGTGAAGGAAGTCTGATAGGAAGAATCATGGGTGAGAAGATAGCTAACTTCACCGGGGTGAAGAATTTTGTGACTGCAGCATGGAGTTACCCCAAGAATCTGACAGTCATGGAATTGGGACCAAACCTGTTCCAATTCAATATCCCAAACCAGGATGATATAGAAAGAATAGTGACAGGGGGTCCATGGTTAATGGATAATCAAAGCTTAGTGTTGAACAGATGGTCAGAAGGGGTAGAAGAGAATTATGGGGCTTTTATTACTGCTCCTTTATGGGTTCAGATTTGGAACCTTCCTGTGCATTGGCTCTCCAAAGAGGTGGGCAGGAAAATTGGAGTAGTTTTTAAGGATGTAAAGGAAGTTGTTATCCCTCAGGGAGGGGGAAAGGAAGGTAGGCATTTGAAGGCTTTAGTACATGTTGATCTGTCCAAACCCCTGCTCAGAGGAACATTGGTGCAGATAGCAGGGTCACTTAAGTGGGTCGCTTTTAAGTATGAAAGGTGCCCGGATTTCTGTTATAAGTGTGGAATAGTAGGACATGGGGAACGGACTTGCAAAGAAAGCATAACTGTTCCAGAGGGTCTGTTGGAGAACCAATACGGCCCATGGATGCGTGCTGGGAATAACAGAAGCCCTGCCAAAGAGAGAGTGGTAAGGGATGATACGGTGAAGGATAAAAGATACTGGAAGTTCCAGAATGGAGAAATGGTGGAGAGGGAGAAGAGAAGGACCCAATCAGGTGAGGTGCTTCTAAAGGCTCTTAGAACCTCAGGATTAGGACATGGAAGTTCCCAGGAGTTTACGAAAGAACATGAGAATGAAAAGGGGGTCCTGCAAAATCGTAGTGATCCCTACATTGATGTGGAAACTAGTGGAAGGGAACATGGAAGTAGAGAGGACCCCCAATCCTCGAACAAGGAAAATCTTGATGTTCCTCGTGTAGCTCAGGAGAATGTAGAGGAGAATCAGTCTGTAGTTGAAATGGAGGTTTTGGAGGAGGACAGAGATTTTTTGCACAAAATGGCTGGGACAGGAGAATAGATTACTAGAGATTCCAGTTCAGATGGCAGGGAGGCAGGAAGAGCCTCAAGGTATTACTAAGATTCAAGAAGCTATTAACAAACAAGCCAAAAGGTCTTACAAGAAGTTGAAGTCCCCAATGAGAACAAGAAGGGCTCTGAAAGAGAGGAATGATCAGGTTATTATCACTGAAGGAGGAAGGAAAAGGCAGTTTCAGCTATATGACGAGGACATGGAGGATGCGCATCAGCAAGAGGCACCAGGCAAACGAGCGAAGCCTCGGGAGTTAGTAGGATACACAGCTATGACTGAGGTGGAGGTGGGGTCCTTCCCTAATGGGGCCCCACAAAAGAAATGAGGGCTTTGGTCTGGAACTGTCAAGGAGTGGGGAGCCCCTTGACAGTTCCCCACCTAAGGGAGGTTAACAACCTCCTCTCCCCAAATGTGATCTTTTTGTGTGAGACTAAGAACAGGAAACTAGTGGTAGACAGGTTGGCTAAAGGTTTAAGATTTGATAATAGTTTTGTAGTGGAAGCTATGCACAAGGCAGGTGGCATGGCTGTGATGTGGAAAGAGGACACTAAGATCATGGAAATCAATCAGTCTGCTTTCACCATAGAGGTAAGAATTGAGGATCAAGAGTCTCTTTGTGATTGGTGGCTTGTAGAATTTATGCGAGTTGTGATCATCAGATTAGGAAGGAACAATGGAGAGTTTTGAGAAATAGAAGTAGGCTATGGGGAGATAGGTCTTGATTGCTGGAGATTTCAATGATATAGTATCGAATGAAGAGAAATGGGGTGGAACTCTCAGGGAGGAGAGAAGCTTTAAGGACTTCAAGGACTTTATTGACCAGAGTAACTTGATAGATCTAGGTTATGAAGGACATCCCTGGACTTGGAGTAACCACTGGGAGGAAGAGGGAGAAATCAGACAGAGGCTAGATAGATGTCTGGCTAGCTATGAATGGGTCCAGACTTTTGATAAGACAAGATGCCAACACCTGGATACCTATGCATCAGACCACAGCATGCTCCTTTTGGACACTGAGCCACATAAGGAAAGAAGGAAAAAGAAGTTCCATTTTGATAAACGATGGCTTCAAAGGGAAGGGTGCAATCAGGTGGTGGAGAAAGCTTGGCAGTTGGAAGAGCCTGGTTCACGTATGTTCAGGATTACTAGAAAGATCAGAAGTTGTAGGATAGAACTGTTGAAGTGGAGGAACACCTTCCAAGCAAATTCAAAAAGCCAGATTGAGGACTTAAGGAAAAAGCTGGAAGCTGTGAGAGGCTCGAACTCTGTTAACAAAAAAGATGTAACAGCTGTGATCAAACACCAACTGAATGAGGCATACGAAAAGGAGAAGCAATTCTGGTGCCAAAAGGCAAGGATCGAATGGTTAAGGGATAGGGATAAAAATACAAGGTACTTCCATGCTTATGTTAAAGGGAGAAGAACCAGGAATATGATTAGAAATCTGCAAAGGGATGATGGCTCATGGACAGAGAATGAAGAGGAAGTAACCACAGAAATATCTAACTATTTCAGTGAGTTGTTTACCAGTGGAGGTAGGAGAGATATGACTGAGATGCTAGAGGGTATCCCCCACTCTATAACTCAGGAAATGAACACCAATTTAACTAAGTCTGTTGAGGAAGAGGAAATCAGAGCAGCTCTCTTCTCAATGCAGCCTGATAAAGCTCCAGGCCAAGATGGCATGACCCCTTTATTCTTCCAACGTTTCTGGAGTACTATCAAAGGAGACTTGGTTCCAGCAATCCAGTCTTTCTTTAGCTCAGGTTTCATGCTAAAATCCATAAACCATACTGTCATTTCACTCATCCCTAAAATCATGAATCCAACAAATGTGAAAATTTTAGACCCATTAGCCTGTGTAGTGTCATCTACAAAACCATTTCCAAAATTTTGGCAAATAGATTGAAGCTTGTTCTGGACAGGTGCATTAGTAACACACAATCTGCTTTCATCCCTGACAGACAAATTTTAGACAATGTAATCCTAGCTCATGAATACATACATTACCTCAAAAACAAAAGGCAAGGAAAAGAAGGATACATGGCAATCAAGTTGGATATGGCTAAAGCATATGATAGAGTGGAGTGGCATTTCTTACAGGCAATGATGCAAAAGATGGGTTTTTGTGCACAATGGATTACATGGATAACTAGCTGTTTGAAGACTGTCACGTACTCTTTCAATTGTAATGGGGATAACAAAGGTTTTATAGCTCCAACAAGGGGAATAAGACAAGGGGACCCACTGTCCCCGTACTTGTTCCTAATTTGCTCAGAAGGTTTCTCAAATTTGCTGAAGAAAGCAAAAGAGAGAAATGATATAAAGGGGCTGAGGATAAGTAGACAAGGACCATTCATCACCCACCTCTTTTTTGCAGACGATTCCCTCATATTCTGCAAAGCAAATAAACAGCAGGCAAAGGAAGTCATGAAGATTCTTAAAATGTATGAGGAGGCCTCAGGTCAGTTGATCAACCTGGAGAAGTCTTCTGTTTTCTTCAGTAAAAATATGCCCATGGAACAAAGACAAGACGTGTGCAGCGCACTGGGAGGAATGACAGAGATGACACAAGGTAAGTATCTAGGACTGCCCATGGTGATCTCTAGGACAAAAGAGCAAATCTTTGGTTTCATAAAGGAAAACATTAAGAGAAAGATGCACGACTGGAGGAACAAGTTACTGAGCACAGCGGGCAAGGAAGTAATGCTTAAAGCAGTCTCAATGGCAATGCCTACTTATGCCATGTCTGTGTTCAAGCTGCCAAGAAAGCTATGTAAAGACATAAGCGCTCTAATGGCTAACTATTGGTGGGGGGAAGCAAATGGGAAAAACAAACTGCATTGGTTATCTTGGAGGAAAATGTCTTTAAGCAGGAATGCAGGAGGCTTGGGTTTTAAGGACATCGAAGCTTATAACAAAGCTTTACTGGGTAAGCAGGTATGGAGAATCCTCACCAAACCAAACCTTCTCATTAGTAAAGTGCTGAGAGCAAGATACTTCCCAAAGGATTCAATACTAACTTGCAGGCCTAAGCAGAATGCTTCTTGGATATGGCAAGGACTGCTAGGTGCTAGGAGGGTAGTTGAGAAAGGGGTGATCAGAAGAATTGGTAACGGGAGAAGTACGAGCATTTGGGGCCATAGATGGATTCCAGGTTCCAGTTCAGGTAGGCCAACCTCTCTTGGTCCTCAAAGCTATAACTTGAAGATGGTGAATGAGCTAATAAGCCACCATAGATGGAAAAGGAACACCATCTTTCAGCATTTTAATCAAAGCGATGCTGAAAAGATCCTGAATATTCCCTTAAGCCTGATGGGGAGGGAGGACAACTATTATTGGCAACACAACCCAGGGGGAATCTATACTGTCAGCTCAGGCTATAAATGTATAATGAAAGAGCGTACCAATGTCAAGCAGATAGCACCAGAGGAAGCAGGCCCAAGCATCACAGGAGAAGATCAGCAGTCTCGACAAATGTGGACCACTTTGTGGAAGCTCAACATCAAACATAAAGTGAAGATCTTCATCTGGAAATGTATAACAGGGGCATTGCCAGTAAGAGCAGCAATCTTTAGAAAAACTAGAATGGGAGATCCAGTGTGCAGATTATGTGGAGAGGATCAAGAAACAGTTGAACACTTAATGCTAAACTGCCAGCACTCGCAGCAGGTATGGAAGGCTGCTCCAATACAATGGGACGGTGCTATGGATCAAAAAGGGGACTTCAGAAGGTGGTGGATCAGAATTTCAGAAGCAAGGACTAGGCAAGGAGGGATGGAACACATAGGCCTGACTGCCATTATCTTATGGCAGTTGTGGAAAGAAAGAAATAGCAAGGAATTTGAAAACAAGACCAGCTGTTCTCCAGCTCGTACAATTGGTAAAGCCCAAAAAGAGTGGCTGGAGCAAGAGGAATTTACGAAAGGCAAGACTAGATTGAGCATAAGAGAAACAACCTGTAATAAGGAAGAGCAACATCAGGGGTGTAATGAAGAGGGCACCATCAAGCTGGAAGTGGCTATAACAAGCCAGAATGGCCAGACTTCACTGGGGATAGGAGTCACAGCAACAAAGCACCCAAGTCTTAGGCTGGCGGAATGGGCACTCAAGGAGCGAAGTAAAGGGGACAAAGTCATAGATGAAGCAATGGCTGTCCATCTGGTCTTGTGCAAAGCTTTTGAGCATCAGTGGAGCAGAATCACGATCCAGTTTCAAAGCCAGGACCTTATGAGACAGATTAAATACAACAGTCCCTCTAACAGTAGGCTAGCTACTTTGATAGAGGACATACTGAGCATGCAAAAGTTGTTTCGATTGTGCTTGTTTAGTTTGGCAAATGAAAATAGTATTAAGCGTAGTAGAGATTTAAGTTCTCATGCCTTTGGCATTTTAGTGGATGAGGAATGGAATTTCCTCAGTGCCTGATGCGCACTAGTTGTATAGAGACCTCGAGCCGTTGCTCGTACATGTAATTTCTTTGTCAAATGAATGAATATCTTCTAACGTTTCGAAAAAAAAAATGAATTATTCTAATAACACCACTAGTCTTGATGTAAGAAAAGACATAGGAAACTCTTTCGGCATAGGATATTCCACAATAAATGTCTTATCTAAAACTCAACCTAGTGTCAAACCAATAACTATCAAAAATCTTCAAACAGAAAAAGAAGAAACTACTGAATTTTCTTCTCAACGTCTCACCAAGTCTAAGGTTATTAGAGATCCACAAACAAAATTATTTCTTCTAAACAAGAAAATCAACAAGTTGAAACCTAGTCAAATAAAAATATAATTCAGAATTCTTCACAAATATTTATTAATTTGTCTCCTGAACTTAATTCCCCTTCTAGTAACAAACTTATTCCTAGGGAAAATTCAGAAGAAAAATCTACAAATAATAATCTGGAAAAAATTCCTAAAGTATTTATATATTCTTTCATAACCTACAAACATTTGCAGCCAGATAAGCTGAAAGTACTTAATAT